AGGTCAGGCCCACAGGCAAGCAGGCCGGCAGGGAGCTCAAATACCTGACCCCTCAAAACCATGTCCTTTACCCTAAATCCTGCTTCCCTAAAGTGTGTGTGGGGGGGTGTGACTGTGCTTGAGAAACAGACCTTAGCCACTTGGTTGTGGGGTAGCCCCTGCCCGGGCAGGGCAGAGGGGTCCCCAGGGGAATGCAGGGCTGCCCATAGCGCAGGTGCTCGGAGCCCGCCTCCCGTGTCCACTCTTTCATACAATTCAGCACAAGGGCCAAGAGGAAAGGGGTCATGTGTCCTGACGAGTGTCTGGTCACCCTCCCAATCCTCAAGGCCGAGGGAGGCCCTCATCCCTACGGGCTCACTGGGGCTGCCTCTGGGGGCTCGGGAAGCAAAAGGAGGCGGCGGCTTTGTTTTCATGCGTTGGTCCTACCCTGAGCTTCTCGGGGCCGGGCCCCACGCCGGGGCCTGCAGTCCCCCGGGGGGAGCCCTGCCCAGGTCCTGTCCTCATCGAGGGCTTGGCTGCATGGCTGACCTTTATTTCCGAGTCTGCGAACGGCTGTGCAGAGGGGTCCCTCCACCAGGGGCTCGGTGGGACGGCGAGACTAGCTCCTGGCTGCACTGGCCATACCCTGTGTCCCCTCCCAGGCCTTGGTCCGGATTCTCCTGACTCCTCAACCCTTTCCCCTAGCCCTCCGTCCCCAGCCCCCGCTGAACTTGACTCATCGTTCAAAGAGGAGACAGAAACCAGCTGAGCCGACCTTGAGCCCCTTCTCGCCACTGAGCCCTCACACCCTTTGTTGCCCACTGCGCCCATCCATGCTGCCCCTTCTGCTCTGAGGGCCAGCCCTCTGCCCGAGCCCTGGTGCCGGCGCTCTGGCCTTCTGGAGCGCGTCACGCCGGCGCATGTCCTCTGTCTTCTGGATGACAGACAGGGTCTCAATCCTGACTGCATCATCCATCAGCAGTCAGCAGGCTCCGTGTCCGCCTTCAACCTTCTTCCTTGACCCACGTTCCTCCCCAGCTCCCCTCACGTCCCCACTGTGCTCCCCAGGGTGCTTCTCGAGAAACGTGCCCTCGCCCTTCTCGCCTCACTCGCCATCCGCGCTGCAGCCCACATCCGTGTGGTCCATCTCCGCCACGCCACCACCTGCCTTGTCAGGCCACCAACACCATACGGTGAATCCAACAAACACTCTGTCTCCACCTGACTCGGTCGCTCAACAGCATTTCCTACTTAAAAACAGTTATTTTAGTAGCTGTGCGGTGCTTGCTACGTGCTGGGCACTCCACGCACTGTCCTGTGCACCTGTCACACCTGTCCTCATGTTGGAGAGCAGGGCGCTAGGGCTCAGAGGGGTTGCCCTGCTGTGTACACCATGGTGGGACCCGGGTTCCACTCGTCCAAGTCCAGAGCCCTCGCTCCCCACTGTTGCATGGGCTCCTGTGTGCACCCCTTCTGCGGCCACCACCGCCCCTCCTGCCCCCTCCCGCCTTGCTGCCCACTCCTTCCGTTTCTTTGGCCTTTCCTCCCGCAGCAGGTTTTAAATGTGGGGCCTCAGCTTCCCGTCCCAACCCTCTCCCTCCTCCACCGACATTCTCTTCCCAGCCATTCGCATCACGTCCCTGGCTTTGAACCCCACCCCCAAATTCCTGCGCCTGACACTGTCATTGCATGTTCTCAGACACCTGACACAGTTCTCATCCACGCTGACCCCACACACCAGCTCTTCCCCAGGCTTCCCGCTGCGGAAAAGCGAACCACCAGCCACTCAAGGGACGACAGCGGTGCCTCAGTTTCTTCATCTGTCAAATGAGGTGAACAGGGCATTCGTGCCCCATAAGGCTATCATGAGGACTAAACAACGCAAGACATAAAGTTCATGGAATACTGTCTGACACACGCACAGTCCTTGATAAGAGTTAGCTACCTGCAAGCTGTAGACCATTAATTAGAACCCACCTCCGGGCAGAGGAAGGGGCAGTCTGAGCAACAAGGGCACTGCGTCAGCAGGCAGGACCGGGACCGCGATCCCGCCCACAGGCGGGCGCTCCCTCTGAGTGACAGCAGGCCACTGCCTGGGAGCTGTCTTCGTCACGCCAGGGGAGGGGCCGTGCCACAGGGCCTGCTGGTGGCTGGGAAGAGCCTGGCAGGGGGAAGGGCAAAGGGCCAAGCCAGGCCAGGGCCAAGGAGTCTGTGAGAGTATCATGGCTCTCAATTCCCAGCAGAAATCAGAAAATCTGATCTTGCACATCTAAGAATAGCCGTCGGTTTCGACTGTGAGAGGTGCCAAAGTGAAAGCTATAATTATTAGTAAGTAACAAGCAGAAATTAACCACCTACTGCAAAGTCATTTTTAGCTGCCATCCCAACGTGGAAATGGAAAGATGGCACCCAGGCTGCTTGGCTGGGAAGGGCCCTGGTTCTGCTCGGAGTCTCTGGGAATGAATGGCTCCAATGGCAGCACCGAGGTCTGCGTCAGACAGAGCCGGAGGGAGGTGGGTCGCGCGTGGAGTGAACACCAAGTCCTCTGCTCCACCTCCGACTCCGCCGCAGGAAGCTCAGAGGCGCTTCCTCTGTCTAGCCTGGCTTTCCTTCCTGCAAGAGGGGCAGACAACCCCTCCGACCTTCTTTATCAAACGAATGTACAAGTGGCACTGGCAGATCCCCCGGACTTTCAGGAAAAGAGACCGTAAAAATGGGTACTTGCTTTCTAAATGTCAGATGAAGGCCAGCTGCCATCAAGAGAAGACGGATAAATGTATGTTTTAAAAACTGGCAATAAAAAGGACAAAAAGCACTAACAAAATAAAAACGGGGAGAAATATTTCTAGCACATATCAGACAAGGCACATTTCTTTGACATAATAAATGCTTACAAATGGAAAGAAAAGCTGAGCATCTAAGCAGATGACTGGGCGGGCATCATGAGCAGGCAACTGAAATGCCATCTTCACCCGTCAGACTGGCAAAGATCGAGAAGTTTGGTAATTCGTTGCGTTGTCAAGGATGCGAGAAAATGGGCATTCAGACATTAGTGACTGAATAGAAATTCATACAATCTGACACGATTTATCAAAATTCGAGTATGCACCCTTTGATGCATCATTTCCACGTTTAGATACAGATACAGAACAATACACATAACAATACTTATTGTGCATTGTCTATAACAGCAAAATACTAGGAAGAATCTAAATGTTAAGCGAGGAAGTCCTGGTGAAATGATGGCAAGTTCATACAATGGGCTCATGCTCTGAGTCAGCCTCGCGTGTGGGGCAGCAGTGACCTCCGAGTGTGGCACTCAAAGGTGCTGACTGCTGACAGTGGGTGCCTGTGGGTGGGAGAGACAGGCTCAGAGATGGGCAGAGTCTTTTCGTTCGATGCCTTTTGTATCTTTTCAATTGTGCACTATTTATTCAAAATTGTATTATTTATTCAAAAATAATTTAAATAAAACTGTCACATGGATCCAAACAAACCAAGGGAAAAACATGCACAACCCATGCAGGTCGGCCACCAAGTATTATGAGGAAGAGTCTGAGGAGGTGCTGGCGGGGGCGAGGGCAACCAGGGGATGGGTCCCACCGCACTGGAAGGCGGCACCCTGTCCCAAGCACCCCTGGTCGGCCTGGGTCTGTGCTCCCCGCTGGGCTCCGGCCGGACCCTCACAGAGCAGATGAAGGCTCGGGGGTCCTATTCATGGTCTCTCTGCCATTCAAATGGACATACAGGGACCCTCTCCTATAATAGCGGAGAGATCTGACCTGTGACCCTCAGATCTGAAGCTAGCTCTACCCTGGGTTCCCATCACCCATTTCCACTGAGCTTGCCGGAAAAACAACCACGAGAGAAGAGATCCACAAACGTCACAGAAACGCCTCGGCCGTGGGTGTCAGACCTGGATCTAACCAGTTGCTTCTAAAGCTTGCAAAACGGACAGAATCTGGCAGTGCTGCTAGAGCTGACGTGGATGCGGGTGTTACCTGGTTTCCATCAGCTGTCAGAGAGCGGGGTCACGTTTACTGTGCCTCTCAGAGCAGCAGAGCTCCCACCACAGTAGCTAACACGGCACAGTTTGGGGGAGCCTGTCTGTTGAGTTGACCTCTTCAAAGACTATATGAAGAAGACATGATATGAATATATGATAAGATTCTAAATCTCAATTCTAACAAAGCCATTGCTTTAGGTCCTTACGGCACAAACCCTACAAAGGTCCTAATCGACTCCAGCCATTCACATGACATACACGTTCGCCTGTGCACACAAGCACGATGCATATTCTGCCCAGAGTCAGGCAGATGCAGCACCCGGTTTCCGTAAGTTCGATCTCACTCACAGGCAGAATGCCCCCCGCCACCCGTTACCAGCAGTGAGGGCTTTATCCTGTCCTGCAGGCGATGGCAGCGAGACATGGAAGCGACATGATTATATAAAAGCCCCAGGATATCTCCACACTGCTCTGCAATGTTCCAACAGCAGCTACAACATTTCCTCCCGAGAGTCACGGCCAGCCGCGCAGGGAGGAACAAAGTCTGGATGACTGAGTGAGTGGCAGCAAGCCACAGGGGAGGCCGTCCCGGGACTGTGGCTCTCACTCGGGCCGTCAACTTTTCCAAGAAAGAGGCAAGAGGAGTAAGCCCGTGAGGTCCACGGAGCTCATGCCAGCCCATAGGGTCCCCTTCAGCTCTTCTGGTTTTTCAGACGTTGGCCCTTGAAAACTAGACTCCAGCCCGGCCAGTGTGGCTCAGTGGTTGAGCATCGACCTATGAACCAGGAGGTCACGGTTGGATTCCCTGTCAGGGCACATGCCTGGGTTGTGGGCTCGATCCCCAGTAGGGGGCGTGCAGGAGGGAGCCGATCAATGATTCTCTTTTATCACTGATGTTTCTCTCTCTCTCTCCCTCTCCCTTCCTCTCTGAAATCAATAAAAAATACATATTAAAAAAACAAACTAGAGTCTATGGCCCATTTGTAAGACAACCTCGCCTCCCCAGTGGCTCCCACCCTGGCCCCGCAGGTTCAGCCAGTCTTTCCTGACCCAACAGTAACCTGTACCCCTTTTCCCCCGTTTTCTGCAGTCACTGCTCATAAAGGCCGCTGGATCGGCCAGGCACCTGGACGGGGACTGGCCTGTCAGAGAGCAGTGGAGGCAGGCATGACGCTGCTCCCTGCTCTCCCCGCCAGCGCCCAGGACCCCGGAGAGGCTGCTGCTGGCGCGCGTCCGCGCAGGAAGAACCATCAGCACATTCCTGAATCAGCCCTCGCGTGTATTTCTGCTTAGAAGGATATAATTTGTTAATTTGCTGCTGTTTTATGGCTCAATTAAAGGTGCCAAGGCAGAAGAGGCTGGCTGAGCCCGGTCTGCGACACGCCAAAGCCAGGTAAACCCACCGGGTTTTTACATAGGAAGGCCCGCCAACAGTTCCAAACAAGGTTGGACATCATACCATTGGGCCTGGCAAACGAGCAGACAGATGGTCAGTGAGGATAACAAGCACTTTCCCGGCCACATTTGGGCTTTCACCACGCGCCCTGAGAGTCAAGCCAGGGAAGGCCTGGGAGGGCCTTGCAGATCAAGTGATAAAACATGAGGAACAGAATTATCTTTTATATGGAAACATAAATATGCAAGCAAACTACAGCCATTGTTCGCTCGTAGTCTGTAAAGTAGGATTCTTGTTGCTGACATGCCTGCGTGCTGAATTTATTTGGGGGATTTCTAGCTACGCAAAAGCAGCCGCGTGAAACGGAGGAGGGGCATGGTACTGCCTCCCGGGCTAGTTCTGGCCCAGCGGGTGCAGTACCTGCCTCCTCACTGTGGACTACCAGGAGCGCCTCAGAGAGGGGAGCGGGAATGGAAAACACTGCCCCTCCTTTGCTTCGATAAAGGCACCGTGGCAGCAATCTGTCTGTGCCTCTCCCAGGGGCTCCGAGTCTCACTGCCAGGATGTGCCAGGCATTGTGCTCATCAACCCCGGAGACAAGCACTATTACTCCCATTGTACAGATGAGGAAACCGAGGCTGGGAGGAAGCTATTAGCTTCAGTCTAGGCAGCTGTTCAGTAGTAGAGCTGGGACCCCCCTCCAAGTGTGCGGGGCTTCCAGACTTCTGGGTCTGGGCCTCCATGCCACGCTGTCTCCCGCAGAGAGAGCCTGGGGCGTAGCTCTCTGGGCCCTGCTGCAGCACAGCCCACACACAGCAAGCTCCCTGCGACCCTTAGAGTCCAACTCGAAGAGCTTTCCTGGGTGCTGCTCTGTGCTGGGCTCTGGGTCAGGGGAGGGTGGGGAGACAGAGGAATTCATGGCTCCTGCAAAGAAGTACAGGAGTCTCCCCTTCATCAGCGGTTTTACTTTCTATGTTTCAACTGTGGTCCCAAAATATTACATGGAAACTTCCAGAAACAAACAATCCACAAGCTTTAAATTGCACGCCAACCGGAGCAATGGGATAAAAATCTCGCACCATCCTGCTCCCTCCCACCTGGGACAAGATTCATCCTTTTGTCCAGGGTCGCTGGGTACATGACCCGCCTGTCAGTCACTTAGCCCGCTGGGTTATGGAACAGGCTGTTGGGGAATCACAGTGCTCGTACTCAAGGCCCCCTTGTTTTACTTAATCATGGCCCCACAGTGCAAGAGTAGGGATGCTGGCGATTCAGATATGACTAAGAGAGGCCGTAAAATGCTTCTATTTTAATATTATTGTTGTTAATCTCTTACAGTGCCTAGTTCATAAATTGAACTTTACCACAGGTGTGTATGAAAAGGAAAAGCAGTACACAGAGGGCTCAATACCATCCAGAGTTCCAAGCATCCACTGGGGGGCCCGGAACATATCCTCCGCGGATAAGGGGGGACCACGGCACTAACATTTTGGTGTGACTGCCAAAGCTCCGATTTCTCCTGCTGAGGGGCTGTGGGCCCCAGAAGCAGTGCCCACGGGGTCCTGCAGCCTCTGGCCCGGGGCCCACAGTGGGCGGGGCGGGGCCCACCGCGGGGCAGAGCGTACCTGCGTGGAGCCAGATCTGTGCCAGTGTCATCCAGGGGTGCAGCGGGCCCTGCTTGGGGGTGCTGCTCTGCAGAGACGAGGCCACTTCGGACAGCGCCTGCTCCACGCGGGAGGCCGCCACGGATGTGGCGTGGATAGAGCCTGTGAGAGGTTTCCGAGAAGATAACATCAGGAGTGAACGCACAGACCCAACCAACCAACTGCCACCCCCTCCCACACACAGACAGGGGTGCAAGACGGACACACGCCCCTTTCCCCATGAGGTTTCTAGGTTTCCTTGTCTATAAAGAAATACAGTCACGGCAGCCGAAACTACTTCCTGTCCTCCTGCTTTAGCTCATCTCTCAGTCAACAACCAGCGCACCTGCTAAGCTCCGAGCTCCCTCCAGAAGCCGTCTGTGGGGTGTGAGTGGGGGCAGGAGGGGCGGGGCCAGTGCATGGCTGGGACACACCTGTTAAACACGGCACACGTGACGCCTACACAGTGAACTTACAGAGCATCCCCGTGAGGGCCTAAACCTAGAAACAGCATGCTCGCCTCCTGGTGACCCCTGCAGTAGATGGGGGCCATTTTCAGGACAAACCTAGCAACTCCCCACTTCATTCCCTGGCCTTTGGGAGGTGGGCAACACCCCAGATTTGAAACCATGTTCTAGAACACGACTTCAGGCTGGTACTAGATGCGTGGAGGGCTGGTGACAGCAAAGACGCCCGGGCCCAGCGGCTGCGCCTGCCTAACGCTCCCGGAAGCCCTGCTGTGCTCACTGGCCCACGGAACCTGGTGGAAGAACTGCTATTGGTTTTTTCAGGTCTTATTTTGATTTTAACCTTTTTATGGAAAAGTAATATTTTAACTTTGATAACCAGGACTTGCTGCAGTTTCCCTGAGATTTTTAGTGAAATAAAGGAGGTGGCTGCTGCTTGGGCCTGACCTGACAACGCTGGCTTACCTCCTCGCTGACTATTGTGAACAAGCGGTTCTCAGCCGTGGCTTCACCTCGGAATGACTTGGGGGTTAACAAATCATGATGCCATAGATGCATCCCAGACCAAGGGCATCACTAACTCCAGGGGTGGGGCCAGAAGTCTATTCGTTCCTTCCCCTCCCCCGGGATTCCAAGGTGCGGCTGAGATGGATGGTACCACTATTCAGCCAAGGAAAGCCCGAAGGCGTGTTCTACACATGCCGACAGCCTGGCTCTACTGCTTCCCTGCGGCTCAAGCACCGGGGCACAGAGCTCCTCAGCGTCTGGGTCTCTCAGCCTCTTTACACCGAAGAGTTGCTGAGACCCCTCGAGAGATTTTGTTTACAGGGTTATGTCTATTGGTATTTACCTTAGGAGTCAAAACTGAGGTATGTTTAAAAGAGTCATTAACTCACTTCAATAATAAATGACTGTGCTAGAAAACTTCTGCAAATTTCCCACCAGGTCCTCTGGCTCCTTTGCTACAAGAACTTAATGGCTTTGGGAGGGGCTCTGTGTGATTTTTGGATAAACTGCTTTGTTGGTCTGGGCCACAAATGAACGGATCAGAACTTCTGCCAAATGAACGGATCAGAACCTTCCCTCGTGGTACCTACGTACAACTAAGTTAGTGGCTTCCTCTCGTTGGAATGTCTCCCTGTGAACAAGCTCTGGCGAGTGATGGCGATGCTGACAGTGGTGGCTACCAGTTCCAGAGAACATTCCATGCTTCCACCACTGGGATCAGCACTTTACACATATTATCTCATTTAATCTTGAGGCAAAACTGAGATTTAACGAGGTTATGTAAGTTACCCAAAGTCATACAGCCAACAGATGGCAAAGCCAGGACTCAAACACTCGCTGGGATCCAAATCCAGCCTTTAAATCCAGCCTGACAGCACTCCTCCAGGAAGGCTGTGCGAGCCTTCTGTCTCTCCCCTATCACTGGCCCGTAGACAGCCGGGCCTCGGTGCTCGGGGCTCCCAGGAGCTTACCACACCGTTTCATGTGAAAGCGGAAGTCACGGTCTCTCCTATTGGACCGTGGGCGGCTCCACAAGACAGGAACCAGGCCCTCCACTGAGATATTTTCAGGGGTAGCAGTGCCAGGCCCGTGACAGATGCCTGCGGATCGCATGCGTGAAGGAGTGCGTGCTGTCCGCAGACGCAGCACTGTACGGGCTTGGATGAGTGGCCCTCTCTTTCGGATGCTCTCCTTCTCCTTCTCTGCTAATGGCTCACAGCCAGACCTCACTGTCTCACAGGGCTGCTCGGTGTGGCAGTCATCACACCCTGGACTAAAACTGACAGTGGACTAAACACTGTACTTCACTCGGGGTCCCCCCCCCCCCCCATCTCTAGAACTAACCCATTTGGATATGGAGCGTGAGTTCTATCAGAACTAACTCTTCCTTCCTGGTCAATCCCTTTTTATACACATGTCACAGGGCGGAGACCCTTCATGTTCTGGGCCAGGGATGGTTATCAGAGCATTCAGATATTTACTAATAATAGCAGGGGAAGAACAAAAATGGTAAAAGTATTTAATAGTTAACACCTATATTCCTGGCAATGGCGCAGGAAATAAAATTCTTCCCCTGGATTAGAATTTGGAGGAAAACAAGGGCTAAACATCATTTTGAATCAGAATGAATGTATCTGATTAAAAAATATCATCCAAATATAATCAAAATAACTTGTGTCTTACTGTTTCATAGGACTGAAATGGTACCTGTCAAAATACTGTAGATACTGGATTTTGATTTATGTACGTTAACACCGAGAAGTGCTCATCTAACCTACATCTTTTTAAAGCGACCCCTTTCTTTCTCACCAAAGCCAAAGTGTTCCTACAGCGTGCCTGGGGTGAAGCTTGGAAAAAGAATCGGAGGGAAGGGTATCGGACGTATTTCTAAACGGAACCTATGGCTGGAGAAATAACCTTCCGAGTCATCCGGTTCGACAGGTAGGCCAGGGCGAGTGTGGCTGCTCTGCCTCTTGTTTATCACACTTGCTGGAGAAGTGCTTGTCGCCGTGGCAACCCTGAGGGTGAGCAGCTGCTGCGCTCCAGCGCGTCCCTCGGTCACAGGACACAGTGGCTCTGAAACCGGGCCCTGGGAGCGGCTGCAGGCGGAGGGAGCATGTCCCAGACCTGGCCCAGGTTCTGTGACCTAATTTAATGGCCTGAATGGTCCAGGCGCCGTAAGAGGCCACGCGGCTGACGAGATCTGTGCTTCCCCAAGCCCACTGCCTTTTCTCTCCTCACCCAGACGCCCCAGTGGAAGCGTTATCTTGGACACCTGACACGAAGGCAGGGGCCACTGAAGAACGGCCCTGAGCCCTGCGCCCAGGGCTCTGTCTGGGCTTCCCTTGGACCGCCATGTGCTGGGGGGGGGGGAGGGGGGGGGCGAGGCATTGCCCTGCGGACCAAGAGGCCCAGGAACCAAGGCTGCTGGCCTCGGAAGCTGCGCGTCAAGCTCTGGCCCCTCCCGAGGACTTCTGACCCAGCTCCTGTCATATGCCGGAGCCTGTTGAGAAACCCTGTCACAAGCAGGACACCGGGAACAGTCAGCTCAAATTGCCCTTGCGGCTGAGCCTTCACCAAAATCCCTTTTCCGGAGCACGAGACCTGCGGCTCATTCCACGCAGACCTCCAGTGTGGCAATCGCACACGGCCTGCATGTCACCTCTCCAAGTTCATCATTCAGAGGACCTCACAGCCAACAATTCTGTTCAGCCAGAGGCACGCTGCATTAGGCGGCTTGGTTCTGTTTGAGAACCTGGCGTCTCCACAAGCAGGGCACTGAACACAGAGCATGCTCTGTCCCGCTGTCCTCTGGCTGGGCCTGGTGGCACTGAGTGAGTGGCTATGGTCTGAAGGACAGCCACCTTCCCTCTCCCCTCCCATCTTCACAGCACGCAGAAGGTAAACTTGCCCTAGAGCAGTGGTTCTCAACCTGTGGGTCGCGACCCTTTGGGGGTTGAACAACCCTTTCACAGGGGTCGCCTAAGACCATCCTGCATATCAGATATTTACATTATGATTCATAACAGTAGCAACATTACAGTTATGAAGTAGCAACAAAAATAATTTTATGGTTGGGGGTCACAACATGAGGAGCTGTATTTAAAGGGCCAGAAGGTTGAGAACCACTGCCCTAGAGGAATCCCTGCCAGCCCAGTGACAGGCGAGCAGCAGGGTCCAAAAACAAGGGACAATGGTCACGTGATGCATAGAAAAAAAATCCTCCACCAGAGAGACCTCAGTAGATGCATTGCACACGTGTGCTCAGGATTCTGGCTGCTCTTTGCTTCCCGGCCCCAGAACGAACTCCGGGGCCTCATGCACATGAACATGGGACCCTGATGGAGCACCAGCCCCTCTCTCTGCCTGCCATCCACATTCTCTCTGCCTGATGCCCGGCAGCGACCTGCCCGCCGCGCTGGTACGACGCGGAGCGGCTCCAGCCTGGCATTCGAATCACCTGCCGCGCAAGAATCTCTGTGTTCATTTTCCCTCCGTCCCGAAGTCATTCAAGGTTATCTGTCAACAGAGTTTACTCAGCTTCCAGTTCCTGGAGGCTGTGGCCCCCTCACCCCAAACTATTTAAAAAAGCAGGAAAAGAGGAGCGATTCACCTCTAAAGACCCTGACCGCCGAGCAGCAATCTGCGTGAGTAAGCATTCTGCCGCAGAGCTGTGCTAAACGTTTTTCATTTTTAGCAGGAAGAGAATTTCTGTTTCTCAAGTCAGGGCTTGGGAGCAAGTTAGTCCAATACTGCAGACTGCTGGTGGCTGGTGACCCCTGACCCTGCCACCTGTGCACGGAGAACCAGGGTGTCCTGGGGCTGAAGGAGGTGGCGGCTGAGTAGCTAGTGATGATTCTCTCTTAGTTTTTGAAGGGGGAGGAGAGATAGAGCCCAGGCTCACTTCAACCCTCAAATTAGGTGTATTCTCTCTGTACCTTTGTAAGAACATTAAACATTTTGGTCCGTCTCCACCGCCCGTCTTTGCTGGGGGTAGTCCTGTCTGAGCAGGCGGCAGGGGTGTGGCCTCCTGGATCTGCCTGTCACCGCCCTCCCTCCCACATTTCTAATCCCAAGGTTGCCACCCCCCTCTCTGTAGCATGCCCATCATGTGACGGGGACATGGGGCTGGAGCGGCTCTAGGGACAG